CTGCGCATGCTCAAGGTGCGGGATCAATCACCGCTAGACATCGCTTACAGGCATGTACTGTACTATCACGATGCATGTGCGTCGTACTGGCTTGCGCGGTGACAGGCTTAACATGCAGCCACAACCAGCACCTTTAGACTGACATCAAACGATGATCGACAAACACGCGGAGTATTGTACTCTCCCGGTTAGTGTTACTTCGACAAGTTCGTACACCTCAGCCACCTCCAGATACGCTCCACATATCGCAGCCAGCATACCCCAAGGAGGATTGTGTGACCAAATGCGGTAGACTCCGAGAGCTCCACCTGCCACTACTCAGCGACCTCCTCCACCCTCAGGATTCAATCATTGTTATCAGTAATCACCTCAGATCCTGCCGAGTCAAGTCGCCTTTATTCCCCAATTAATTCCTACGACTGCCGACCCTCCGAGGAGGTTTCAAACCATGATGAAGATCACGATGCTCACTTCACCCACCGATCTTCCGCTCCGATCCGAGGGTGAAAGTGGTCCAAACGCGTTGCTATGTTTAACTCGTGGGTTGAGCGGAGGTGGAATCTGGAGATATCCGTGAAATGCGGATTTTAACTTTGGGGTTTGACTATGATCGGACTTGTGGTTTTTGCATCCACCGATGCCGAAGTTCTGCCACCGCGTCGGCATGGCTAGTGTGTGGCTGAAGAACATGTTCAAACAAGCGTTCGCTGCTAAGCGGCTGCCCGTCCAGAACGGTTCCACGCGATGCAACGGAACTCATGGCCGCTTGTGTCTCGCCGCTCGCACGAGCGCGCCAGTCGAGTGGCTGGGCTGCGCATTGCACTAGGGATGTGAGAGTTGTGATTTGGCTGTCTCAATGCGAATGCGAAATCGTATCAATTTGGCTGAGTTCGATGAGCACGTCAATTTTTAACAATATGTCGCTGTTTTACTACGGTGGAAGACTAGCTTAAACATTCTCGCGATGCTTGGCATCCATCGCGCAGGACGGTTCACCCCACAGCAGCACTGACCATCAGATGACCACCATCCCCATACCTTAAGACCCTTTATCAACGCTATCGCACGGCTGAATGCGAATGCGAAATCTTTCAACCAGCGTAGGTACGAACTACAGTTCTCTCTCAACCCCTTCGAATACGGTTTCAATAGCCTACACGGCTACCGAGCTGCCTCAAGAATTCACGCAGCCTACCCCTTACGACAAGGATATACTGCGTACGCACACGCGCGAGAGCACGCAAGTAGATCCCAAGGGTCCTCCGACATGCAAGCAAACGCAAGGATCCAGCATCACGCACCACCAGCACCCCAGTTACCCATAAACTCAAAGAGCCGGAAGAAGCCAAACGAACGCACGAGACAATCCCACTCCCCAAAGAGCCCCCATGCTGGCCTCGCATCGAAGACACAAGTTTCCCAGGTTCCAGATTCCCCAAAAACCCGCGTTGGAAGATTAAAGTTGTCCACACCCCAGAACGGACCGAGGGTGAGAACTTTATATGGCGCAATCGCGTGCGTCGTAACGCAACACATCCCTTCCCTTATCACATGGTTTCCGCTTTCCACCTCGCCGGATTGAGACTGCAGCCAGCCTCGTTACGGGTGCCATTGTGTCTCGAAAAGTAGCGGAACCCCCGCGCAAGGGTCCAGGTGATAACTTTCCTTCGACGGTCCGAAATGGTGAACTTTGATGGTATTATCATACGATTTTTGGATTCTGGATCTTGACCTGAGGGGATAGTCTGGATCTTCCATTGTGAGTGAAGGGCCGATTCGGGGGGCGAATATTGTGGGCGGAAGGGGCAAGGTGAGACGGTCTTTTGGGGTGGCGTGAGGTGGGGGTGGACCGGTGGAGGTGGGTTGTAAATGTATGAAGATGTTTCGGTGTAGAGGGTCATGTGGAGAAATGTGGTATCGTGGAAGTAAGGGTTTGTACAGATGTAGCATGGGCAAGGGAGATGCTTGTGCCTGAGGCCTCGTCACTGGGATGCGGCCTGTGGACGTAGAAGAGTTACTCTCGGTGTATATGGTGTGAATGTCAAGGAGCCTCTCTTCTCGATAGTTTGTGTGAGCTGTTATGAGAGTTGTGGCAGAAGGGCTGGACAAAAGGTCAGTGTTGTTCAGATGTGATGGTGTGGAACAAAAGCGCTTGCTCGGGAGATGTTGTGATGGTACACTTTGTACCACGCGGGCTTTTGGAGTGAACATCTGCATGTCATGTCTTGCATAGATGCTTGTTGCGAGCGACGCGATTGATCTTTCTTACGTAGACCGGGTCGAACAAAGTATATGTCTACGCAATAAGTTTGATAGTCATCACGTACCGACATTTTTCAGCATCAACGATAATCTTAGATACATTTACAGTGTCAAAATATATACATCTTCAACCCCTCTTTACAACGACTCTACTTCCTCACCAACCCAGCTCACCAGCAAGAGCCTTGGTCAGAAGCTCCGCCATCTCCGCATGTGTCGCAGCATTGGGATGGTAATCACAAGCAACGTCTGAGCCCTGCGATGGCATATCCACCAGACTGATCTTCGTGCTGTTCTTAAGTTGCGCAATCGCAGCGTTCAATGCATTCGTCTGCGTAGTCTTCTGTGCCTGACCTGCAGGATACCCGTCGCCAAGCATAGGCGATGTCAGAAGGAAGAAAGCAGCCTCTGGGTAGTGTGTCTTGATCGTCTTGACGAAGTTGACCATGGCAGCGGTGTATTCTGCCGGAACGATCGGGTCGCGGACGCCGGCTTGATAGCCAAAGTCGTTGGTACCAAGATTGATGACTACAGCATCTGGTGTGGCGTTTGCGGGAAACGTGTAGCTGTTCAGCGGATCGAGAGCGCCGTATCTGGTCCAGCGTTGAGGCATGATGTCGCTTGGATCGGGGGTGGGAGAGACGTAGTTTCTCGTTAGACCGATGCCGCTCCAGGCTATGATGTCGTAGTCGGCATCTAATGCGTCGGCAGCCAGGGCGGCGTAGGTCTTGGGATTGTTCTCCACAGCGGCGCTGTTCACGCATGGGTTGACGCCGTCGAGGCCGTAGCCGACGGTGATGGAATCCCCAATGACTTGGATCTTGCGCGAGGCGTAGATGTCTGGACCTAAGGTGCCGTCCGTTGTTACGTTGCCAATGGTTATGGTGCCATATGAAGCTTCTGATCGTTTCCGCAGTTCGACCGTGTGTTTGCCGTTACCAAGGTCAGCGGGCGTTTTGATGGAGGTGCCATTAACATCAGGAATGACAGTAGCTACGCCATCGATGGTCAATTGAGCACTGTTGGTGCCGCTTGTGCCTTCGATGCCGATGCTAGCGGAGGAACCTGTAAAGGTAAAGGATACGCCGGTTCCAGGCCATGTCAACTCTTGCGTGTCCGGATTCACACGTCCGAGAAATCGAACAGCCTTGACATTGTCGATGGCTGCTAGTAGTACGAGAGGGGATACGGAAAGCTTCATGATGAGATATGATGGTTTGAAAGATGCGCAGCGCGTCGTGGCACTGAGACTTCGCACACATTTATACTGTGCAACATTGTAATTAGTATCGAGGCTAACACGGAAGACCGTTACTAATCTCGTAGAATAGTAAACAAGTTCCGGAGTGACCTGAATCGTGGCCTCCGAATAAATTGCACAGGACAAGAAAACCGGGTAGCCTTTGGAGAACTCCGCGATCTTTCTACAGCCACGATGCTACTGCATGTTGCGTAGCTATAATTGGCCAAGCATTTACTTTGCGATATTGCGCATGACACTAGAACAGTATGGTAGTCGTAAATTTGAGAAGATGCGGGGGTGCAGCCGTAGGTATGTGGCAAGATGACCGTTGCGATGACGATCGCGGACCTGGTAAATGATGCACTAAACTGAAATGGGAATGGTGCGGAATACATAAATTCCACGAACGAAGGCTGCTCTCGTCCTTTAGTCCGAAGATATACATTGTAGCTAATTGACGATGGACAACGTCTTCTAGCACATGATGTAAGAAATTGCATTGTGGGATATGAGAATGAGGCTCGGAATCTCGATCGCACACTAGAGTATGCCTTCTTTGCGCTTCGGCGTCAGACGGAGCATCAGCATCACTGTGACTTGGGAAGCAAGATTGACAAGAGAGCATAGCATTCTCAAGATAAGAGCAACACCAACGAATTCTGCTCCCAACGGTCCCAAGGTGAGGTTTCCACCCAAGATGCCATCGACCTCGAATCGCGACGATCGACATCCAGCCTATGGACCCCACGGATCGTTTACTCCTCGCGCAGTCGCCCCTGCCACTAACGGTATGTACGCATCAGACAAGACGGTGCACGGGCATCGACTCGGTCTTTGAGCTCTTGGATTTCGGTATGTTGTAGATTTCAAGGACACGGGACAGGTGACCGAGATATCGATAACAGTCGCTGAACGCCGATAAAGAATATAGATGTTGAGAATGAAGGTAAAGATGCGAATGTGTGCGGCCCGAGGTAATAATGACTGTGTTCAGGTCGTCGAAATACCACTTGAAGTTAGGGTATCGATGGATGAAAGACGATAGGAATATAGCCTCGACCCGTGGACACCCTGGATAATAGCAATGAGCCGCGCGCGCCCTTGTTCAAGAGTCCAAGAGCTTGGAAAATGGTTGGGGTCAAGTGCGCGGAACAGATGTTCGAGCGTGTCTTCTCCGTCGCTGTTGGAGTTCTGACGGGTAATCTTGAACTCTTGTTAGCATAGTATCGGGTGGCTCAGCAAGAAAGACCAACAATGTGAGCGTTCGCGAGGTTGTAGTAATGGTACTGTTGATATGTCGTAAGAATGTTGTTGAATGATGGCGATGATGATAGGAAGGAATAGTTGATGACGAGAACGAGGACCGTCCTGGAGGAAGGATATCAAGAATTTGGCAATACGGTGGCACGATGCTGGAATAATGAAGTTAGCTTTAGACAACAACATGAAAGACGAATGGTACGTACCTCGAGTGTCGCGGATGGGACAAGGGGTATCAGCGCAGCGATAGCGCCTGTTGCGCTGCCCGTTGTTGCGCCATCTGCTGCTCGCGCACCTTCTGCATCTCCAACTGTTGAGGATACGTGTTTCGAAGAATGAGGATGAATGAGGTAGAGATGCCGTAATAATACTAGGAAACAGTCAGTAAGACGTAGCCAATCCCTAGAGTAAGAGACATACAGTGGTAACGATGTTGCCGACAACGCACTGGAAGAATCCGACATCCTCGATAGTGGTGTCGTGATGATCGATGCCATGTCGGTCCTCGAGTATCTGACTTCCTCTAGGGCAGTGTTGCCAATGGAGGGATGAAGAAGGTAGAGATGTCGTAAGAATACTAAGAAACCGTTAGCATAGCACAGAGAAGCTGTAGGGTCGGATGCATACCGTTGTAACAATATATCCGACAAGAGCGACGTTGCATTGTAGATACCTGACTCCCTCGAGGATAGTGCCACCGATCATAGATTGGTCTCGTAGTTGTGTCAAACCGTAGTGTACTTGTAGTAGATTCGGATCGTAGCAGGATAAGAGCTGGCGGGGGAACGATGGCGATATAGATAGACTGGATAAGAATGTGCGAGATATGGCGGTATGAATGTTGTAATGATACCAAGGAACAGTCCACTAACGTTTCGGCAAAACCACGAATCGGCTCGTTTGTCCTCGGATTGTGGAGTGATCGCAGAATCATGTGTCGGTTGGCTTGAGCACTATAGGCTGTCGCGCGGGTTAGTATGACATGGAGAAGTTCTGGCATCAGATACATACTGTCATATCGATGTTGCCAAGGAAGGACTGGTACGAGACCAATGCGCTTGTCCGACTGGGAAGAGGCACAATGATTGCACTTGACCTTGGCGTAGCAGCGCTTGCCTTGGTAGTTCTTCTTGGTATGGCTATATTTGCCGCAACGAAGACAGAAGAGGTCGCTGCTCCAGCCCCAGTCTTGCGCCTGGCTAAGCAGCTCGAGGCAGAGCCCGCTTTGTACTTGCTGTACTTTTCCTGGGCATGGCTGTACTTCTGGGGCTTGTTGAATACGCTGAGGCTGTGCTATGCGTGTTCTCGTCCGTAGCGATGGAGTGATGAAGATGTGGTGACGATATGATAACGATAGAGACAGAGTGTTGAGGTGTCGTGGTGATGAATGAGAGTTGGAAGTAATATATAATGATAGAAGTGAGGATGGTTGAGAACGAAGAAGAATGGGTCGTATCCCAGAAGAGTGGTGTGGAAGAGATGTGATGGAGGATACTTGGAGGAAGAATGGGAGCAGGTAAATAAACAAACAAAGAACACAACGGGACATGTGAGGAGCGAGCTTGTAGCGTGCCTGACATGTGCCACCAAGAAACATATATGCACGAGAAGTAGCACATGGCCATTGATCGTCAGTAACGACTGAAACCAACAATTTACTGCGCAGGCGCCACGGGACGACAAATCCCCACCAACACACTCGGCAAGAAGTTCACGATACTTAAAGTCAAAAGCTGAGTCGTAAAATCATCAATTGAACCTGAACGAAAGCACCAGTCTCTCACTCCATCCTTTTTCAAGCCCCTCCTAAACCTCCAGAACTCTCAATCCCCATCTCCCCAGCTCACATTCCTATAACACCTTGAAGCAAACATAGCTCAAGAACTTATCGTTCAAATCGCCCTTGTCCGTACTCCTTAGATCCGCATTACCGGGCCAACTCAAGCTGAGGAAATCTGATTCAACGCCAGGAGTCTTGTGGCAGGAGTTGTTGCTGTTAACGAAGGTATTAGCTAAGGAACCCGAGTAAAGGAATTGTCAGTACATACGTGAAGAACTCGCACAAGAACCCTGGATCAGGTCCAATCGATGATTCCCTCCCAGAAAGTTGTGCGCAGTCAATATCTGAACCGCCTGGTTTGGTGAAGTGGTGCGAACATGCGCCGTTCCAGTTGATGTCATCGCAGACGTAGACGCCGGCTAGATCTTCAGGCACGGGAGACACGGAAGCTGACGGCGCTTCTGGCAATGGCGTAGACAAGGTCGCTGTTACGGTGACCATGGTGGTCGTCATGACGATGTCTGATGCTCTAGGAACAGGAGTCAAAGCCGGGGCGGGCGCAGCGGAAGAGCTCTCGGCGTCGCCTCCAGCGCCTAGTAAGTCTCCTAGGCCGCCCAGAGGACCGCCTCCGCCCAAAACATCGCCGAGGGGGAGGCCTTGTCGCTTTGCAGCTGGATGTGCAGATTCTGGGACGTATTCTGAGGGGATGAAAGGATGACCTGGGCTCGGGGGCAGGCTTGCGGCGAGAGTGGTGCCGGTTATGAGAAGGGTGTTGAGGATGGATGCATACATGATGAGCGATTTGCTACTGTCAAAGTAGAGAGTTTGATAGGTCTGGAATGTGAACAGCACGCGCGTTGTCTACAGAAATTATAGAGATTTCCGGTCTACTTGTACTTCTCGTGAGTTGTACGTCTCGTGGAGGTGAGAGCATCTTTCTTCCCAAAGCAATATGAGACGGCAATTTCTTTTTCTGTGTATCAACTGTCACGACACTTGCTCTCTACCGGCTCCGTGAGACTCGGCGGGTAGAGTTGTGTAACAAAATGCCCGGTTGCACTGATCACCTGCAGTACGCGACCAGGCTGCACGTAGGCTGCGTGCAACCCTTCGAGGACTTCTGCGGAAACGTAGTCTTCAAAAGTGCGGGTGGTGACTGGGAGGCGCTCGATTATGTGCGCATGAGAGATGCATGTCGACTGAAACGCAACGGCAGTGCTGAATCAAGTCGAGTACAGTTGAGCACTTGAGTGCGCATTGTTGATGAAGTGCCGTTTCTGGCACTGGCCCGCTGCGTCGCGGCAACGTCTTTCGCAAGGTGCAACAGCCGGCGGATGAAACGATGGACTTGTAAACAGTCGACTTACTCTATTCTGATAGTAGACAATAATTGGGTACAAGAATACTGACAAGTCCCTCCCGAGTGGTGGTATCATATGCGCTCCAATAACGCGACCAAACAAAGCGCTGTAACGCTAACAAGACGCCGCCGCAATGTCCCATGCCCAAAAGACCGAGAACTTGTAGGTACTCGGTGGAGTAGGAGAGGCACCTGCTGCCACGGGTATATGAACGGCAACGGGTAATCAAAGCGATCTAAGATATCCCTGAGAGCGAGCGTACTACGCCGCTGATCTCTCGGGTGCTTCCGGTCGGTCTGGCTCGTAGTTTGTCTCGCCCAGTGACTCAGTGGGTCCAGAGACAGAAGGCGCTGACGGCGCAGCGGCACTGGGGCCCCGAGACGCTGCTGCGTTTAGGCGCTGGTTCAGAGCTTCTAGAGCGAGAGCACGTCTCCTCTCCGCCTCAGCACGTGTGGCTCCTCCTCGACCGCCCCTGCTGTTGGGGTTCATGATGCTGGGTAAACCCCCTTCAGCCCGGGCGCTCGCCTGTTCGTTGCCTGCGTCAATATCCTGATCTGAGAAGGGTATGCACACTTTGAGCGATACGAGTGTGTTGTAGATGCCGTCCGAGAGGGCACCAACGGGTGTTTGTATGGGCTCCGGGAAGAAGTGGGCAAACGAGAAGGTATCTGAGGCGTCGCCGCGGATGACAGAGCCGTCGCCAGTTGCGGTAGACGATAGTGATGGGCTTATGCGGTAGAAGCGGAGGTAGATCCAGGCAGTGAAGAAGCCGAAGTACGCCAGGAACATAGCCGTCTCGGTACCCAGTATTATGCCGGAAATTGTGTTGGTGAGGAGGAAGATGGCAGGGAAGTGCTTGACGCGCATGCGGATGAGGCCCTTTGCGATGGCAACGGTGTGTTCGGGGACGAGCTGCTTGAAGGAGACGAGAAAGCCGGCTTGGATGGCGATGCCGCCAGAGATGGTCGTGCGCCTATGCTTGGTCAGTACAGTGCATGGGACGAAGGCCGAGTACGCACATCAGAGAGGTCTTGCCCATGACCAGGTAGCCGACGATGTAGAGCAGATAGGCGAGCATGTTGGGTATCACGGCCACGAAGAGCATGAACTTGGTAAACTCGTGAGACCCCCACGCTCTTTCCAGGTAGCGTCCGCCATAGAAGACGGTGAGTCCGGTGGTGATGAGGCCGAGGAGGTTCTGCTCCACCACCGTCGCCAGCGCGAAGACCCAAGGATACCACGGCACCGAATAGCGGGGGACGATGGTGAGCCACGGGACGCCGTTTCCCACGCCGATGATTGGCTTCTCGATCTTTTCTACCAGGTTGGCGTTGGGTCGCAGTGCGAAATTTACCAGCGTAAAGAATACGACGGCCGCCAGCACGCCGCGAGTGAGCGGGGGCAGGTTGATGCGCGCCATGGTGGGGAGAATGCGGCGTCTGGAGGCGGGAGGTGAGGCAGGCGGGCGTCCTTCACGTATCGGCCCGGGCAGGTCCAGACGGGCGGTGGAGATGTCGAGGGTGAATTGCGCATGCAGGCGTGGGAGCGTCTGCATGTGTTGACGGCAGGGATCATGAACGACGCTCGGACGGAGATCCTGTGGGGACTAGCGGCCGCCAGAGTGCTGAGTAGTTGCAGGTAGCCTTCGATCCTCCTACCAGCTCGACGACGACCACCACCACGAATCGCGCACCCAGCACGCCCCGCCTCTCACCGACCCTACGCACTCTGCTCCCCGGCGCATGCAGCGCGTACAGGATGCGCCATGGCGGAGACTCTCAGCAGCAACGCGATGAACTATCTCGGTACACGTCCCCAGCCCACGCCTCTGTTGGCCTGCATGACTGACGTCTAGGTGCAGTATGGCGATATCTTCAGGAGGCCGGATTCGGTAATGCCGCCCTGCAACTCTCGCGATGCTGGATCCGCGACCCCGACACGCTGCCCTTTGCGAAGAACATCGAGCAGCACGCCCTCATCAGGCTCGTGCAGGACGGGCTGTGCTTCGACCAGCTGCAGGCCGAGGCTTGCAATGTACGTCGCATACACGCGCGCGGGAAGCTGGTACTGACGAGCGCAGACGGAGCCGCGCTACAAGTTCGGCAGCGACCACGGACGACCCTATTCGGCGCGCAATGGCAACCTCTTGACCCTCGACAAGGGCATTCCCGCACACGAACTCGCTGCCGAGGCCAACGGCGCTGTCCAAGAGCCCCCGCCCAAGAAGACGCTCAAGCGCAAGAAGACGAAGCCCACGAATGGCGTCGAGCCGCGCCCCGAGCCCCAGGTCAACGGCGATGCCATGGAAATCGAGCACAACGGCACCACCCATGTGACCAACAGCGTGCGGGCTGAGTCGGAGCCCATGGTCTCGGAAGCCGAGTCGCCCTCGCTTGCTGATATCCCCATATCCACCCTCAGCATCGGCCAGGACGCTGAGATCCAGACCGAGGCCATCGCTGTGGCTGATCTCACTCCCGGCATCGTCTCCATCCCTCCCCCCTCAGACCCTGCCTGTCTTATCGAGCACACGCTATGGGGGCCTATAGACTCCCCTGTACTGCTCGCAGCCGGCAAATCCCTACTCCAAGTTCACGTTGTGAGCAAAGACCCTGGCCATGAACCCCCTACCCAGCATTTCGACATACCCTTACCCGTCGACAACTTCGACGTCACCGCGCTATGCTGGCATTCCGACAACGAACTCACTGTCTCTGTGCGAGAACAGCGATCCAACGAAGTCGGAGAGAAGATGATGATGGACAAGCTCATCAAGCTTACCGAAGGCGGCCAGGCCTCACAGGTCATCTCCTCCACTGCCGGCCTCATCAACACGCTTCGCTGGAACCCCGAACGAAACTTGCTGCTCTCGATATCAACAGACGGCGAAAAGGGTTCCATCAAGGTGTGGAAGAACGATAGCGACTCTATACCCGCATGGACCGAATTCACCGACACGGCCATATTCGACGCCCACTGGATAAGTGACTCTGCTTTTGTCGTTTGTGGTATCAAGCTCTTCAAGATCTACCAAGTCAACGATTCCCTGACTACCCAGCAAACCCTCGACACTTCAGTAACATGGGAAACAGTCAAGTATGACGCTGCGTCTAGGATCATCGCCGTGCTGGGTATCGAAGACAGGAAGTACTATCTTGGCATCCTCCACCCCAACGACTCGATACAACTACAGGTCCACGAATATCCTGATGAGTACCCCACCGATCTCAGCTTCCGCGTAAAATCAAAGACCAGCCACCTTACGAACGGTTCTTCGCTGCCCTCTGTTCTGCTTGCAACGAGCTCCATGGCTGGTGCAACGCGCATCTGGGACGCAAACGAACCTTTCAAATGCGTCAAATATCTACCTACCACGGATGGTACGCAGGCCTTTAAGATTGCTTTCTCTCCAGACGGGTCGCTCTTAGCTGCAGCAGGCCCCGATGCCGTCACTGTTTGGGATGTAGAAAAGAGAGATGTACCAATTGCCTCGTGGCGCGCCAGTGAAACTCCCAGCGACAAATGGAACCCGGCCATAGACGGAGAGTACAGTCTTGGTTGGGAGCCAGATAGTTCTAGGTTATCTATCGCTCTTGGAAATCAGGTATGCAAAATGCGAAGAGAAGATTTCCAATTGCTTACACTACTACAGATTGCTATCGTCACGGTTCCGAGGTAGTACCGGGGATCGTCTATGGAACAAACTCAATTGCAGCTCTGCGGCACAACTATCGCGCCGCTCATCGCAGGGGTTTCTCAGCTGTATTGCACAGGACGGATAGAAAACTATCCAGAGCCGAACGCGCAAGTCTTCACGGGGACATTCCGCGAAGTCACTAAGAGCGCGTTGCGGGATGCAGCGGGACGCATGTGGAGGTCCGGGGTGGCGCCTCGGCCGACACAGATGCGGAGGCTGTCGCGCTCTGATAGGCTAAGCCTAGCGGTGGAACCCCAGGCCGTCTGCTGAATCCGACTGGTAACTCGACGTCTCGCTAACGCTCCGCCTACTGCTTCGGCACTTGTATCATACGGCCAGCCCTGACGATGGTGAGGGGTGTAGGTGGCCGTACTTATAACGGTTCTCTGTCGCCATTTTGCGGGCAACATCATCTGGATCGTTTCTGTCATACTCTATACTACCACCTACGCTGGCCAGTCTAGCCTCTGAATAAACCATTTAATTTGGATACACGTCGCGCAATTACTCCTATTGTGTAACTCGTTCTTTCTTGACGATGTCGGCAGTACCTAACCTTCCTATCGACGCGCCTGGCATTTCCATTAACGAGGATGCCAATGGGCTTTCAGCGAAGCCGCCTTTCAAGCTCAACGATGCGCCTGTGGAAAACTTGCGACGTCTGAGAGTTGTTGTTATCGGTGCTGGATACTCGGGCATCTATTGCGGCATTCGCATTCCAGAGAGATTGAGAA